TTGCCCCCCATTTACTAAAAAGGGGGGCTTTGGCCCCCCCCCCCCCCCGCCATTCCCGCCTGCTCTGGCCTCGCGCCAGCCTTGCCCTGGCCGCACCCGCGCCGCACACCGCCGCCGCCCTCCGACCCTCCGACAGCCGGCCTGCCCCCCCCCCCCCCCCTCTGCAGTGGCAAATCTTTAAGACGTCTGCCATCAAGGGGGACGGGCTGCACGACGGGCTCGACTGGCTAGCGAACGCGATCAAGGAGGGGTAGCCCTCGCCCCCCCCCCCCCTGCTGCTGCTGCCGCCGCCGCCGCCCGTCGCGCCGCGCCGCCGCCCGCCGTCACGGCGCGAGAGCACCTCTGTCGCCGCCCGCCGCCCCCACACCCCACGGTGCGCGGGCGGGCCCGCTGGCCTCATACGTTTCGTAGGGAGAGGGGACGCGCGAGGGGAGGGAGAGGAGATGAAGCGAGGACCGCAGCCACGGCGCTGCCTGGGCTCAGGGCTGGGGATTGGGCGGGGCTTCAAACAAATAGCACGCGAGACAGAGAGAGAGAGAGAGAGAGGTGTCTGTCGAGAGGCGAGAAGAGCCCAACTGTGAGAGATTGGAATGAACATGTATCATCCGAACGTTCGCGGCGTGCACGTCGCAATTTCTTGAGAATGAATGTCAAAACACTACGTGCTACCCCTACAGAGGGTATACACAGTGAGTGGCAGTGGGCACACAGCCCCCCACAGGGCAGTGACTCAGGGTGCAGTTTCACAGCGCCGATACACGCATAAAGCCGTACACCGTACAGGTACACCGTGACGTACAGGATACAGTAGTCAGTACCAAACAGCGGCCTGCAGCGGTGCAGGGCGACTGACGTGGAGAGGGCCAAGGAAGGGCCGTCACGAGGGGGCCTCTGGCGTCTGGCTCTGGGGGGTGGGGGCGCAAACGCAAACCCACCTGGGTGTCGTCTTCGGTCAAGCTGCGGGAGGCAAGGGCGAGGTCAGGTGAGGGGCTGTTGGAGTGTGACGACGACGTCCAGGCGCCAGCTCGGCATCCGCCAGCGCCGCCTCGGCCGCCGCCTCCTCCTCCTCCTCCTCCTCCGCCTCGTCCGCCTCAGCGTCCAAGCGCACAGCCTTAGCCACCTCTGCCGACGCCGCCGCCTGGCTCTCCGCCGTGATGCCGAGCCGGATCCTCTCCTCGTGACAACTTGCGAGAAGCCTGATCATTCTCTCCTCCTCGGCCTTCTTTGCGGCCTCGGCTGCGGCTGCCTCCGACGGCGCCTTGGCAACCTCCTCGGGCTCCTGCGACGGCCCCGCAGCCCCGCCCGCCCCGCCGCCCTTCATCTTTTTCTTGCCCTTCTTGCCCTTGGCGCGCTTCTCCGCTTCGACCTCCGCCAGCAGCTCCTCGGCGTGCCGCGCCGCCTCATTCTCCCCCACCGCCCTCTCCGCCGCCCTCGCCGCCGCCTCTGCAGCCGTCGCCGCCTCCTTCGCCGAATTCTCGGCCGCCGCATGCTCCCCAAAAGCTCCGCCCCGTGCCGCACCAGCAGCTCGGCCACCCGCTCGCGGCCTCGGTCGGCGGCGTACATCAGTGCGGTGACGCCGACGCGTTTTGAAGGTCGATCGAAGCGCCACGCTGCAGCAGCGCCGCGGCCAGCCGCCCGTTGCCGTAGAAGGCGGCGACCATCAGCAGCGTAAAGCCGCTCACACCCGCAACAGTGAAAGTCGCATCGACCCGCCCGCCGCCGTCGAGCCACGCCAGCACCGCCGCTTCGCCGCCTTGCACAGCCGCCTCCACGACCTCCTCGGGGACGGCGTCCTCGCCCGTTCCGCTCTCCACGCCGCCAGGAAAGGACGCGGCAGTTGGTGCCGCCGCTGCCCCTTGCTCGAGGCGGCAGGGCCGTCCGCCCCTGCGCCGCCCGCCTCGCCGATGCCCTCGGGAACAGGCCCGCTGCTGCCTGCCCCCGCGCCGCACGAGCGCCGCCGCGTCGCGCCTCTTCGCCGCCACCTCGCCGAGAAACGTCTTGACGGCGGCGACGCACTCGGTGTGGCCCTTCTGCTTGGCGATCTTCAGCGCTGTGTGGCCGTTCGCAGTGCGCAGCGCCATGTCTGCGCCCGCCCGCAGCAGGCGGAGCACGACGACAGAATGGCCGTAGACGGCGGCGGCTGTGAGCGCAGTGCAGCCGCTAACGTCTTGCAGGTCGACCTCTGCCCCGTGCTGCAGCAGCAGCTCGGCCACCTGCAAGTGGCCTTGGTAAGCAGCGAACATCAGCGCGGTTCTGCAGCCGCTGTCCTGAAGGTTGATCTCCGCGCCTGCTGCAGCACTCGGCCACCTGCACGTGGTCATTGACGGCGGCGGCCATCAGCGCCGTGCCGCCGTAGCTGTTTTGCGCGTCGGCTTCGCGACCCGCTTCAGCAAAAGTTCGACCAGCTGCTTGTGATCATTGGCGGCGGCGATCAGCAGTAGCGTCCAGCCACTCAAGCTGCCGCACGCACCTCGGTCAAACCAGCCCATCCACCGCCCGTGTAAACTCCGTGTTTGTTTTACTTGAGCACTTGAGCACTGGATAGGGTCGATTCCGCATGGTACGGGACCCCTCGAGTATGACTCGAGAATCAAAGTGGAACAGGTTGGAACATCCTGAGCACGGCGCCGCAGGCGCCTGTTGATAGGTCCAGATGATAGTCCTGCCTGGATGGGCAATGCATACGCCTAGTCGGGCCTCAGATCGCCCGACCGACCTCGTCCCGGTGCTGCTCTGTGTGGTCGGTCGGATTTGAGACGTGTTTGTCGGATTTGTGACGCTGCCGCACCGCGCCGCGGCCGGGGGCCCTCCGAGGCCGAGGATGGCCGTGGCGGACCGGGACGAGCTCTGGGAGGTGAAGTCTGAAGTGTCGGTGAGTATATTGTAGAGACAGACCATGTGCACCATATCTCTCAGTCTAGCTAAGCCAGGGGAGGCGATGCCGGGGATGTACAGCAGCTTGATGGTGCTTCGCCGGCGTGCGTCCTGGAGCGGTCCCGGATGGGCGTCTACCCTGTTCTACTCGACCACGAGCGGCCGAGAGGGCAAGCCACGAGGCGTCTGATTGACACGATTCCGGGGACGGCCGAGTTTTGGTCTGCAAGCACACGGGGAAATGTGCGGAAGAATTTAATTCTCCACCCGCCAAGGGACTGTGGGAGGACGAACGTTTCCACTTTTCATCCTAAACAGCCTGACGTGGCGGCGGCAAACATCGGCAAGGGGCACAGGCGCCTTTATTGCCGATCTGAAGCTCACGAGCTCGCTTTCGAGCAAGGGCAAGGACGGGAAGCTCGGCTGGAAGGGGGCTTATGTTCGCTTCGGCGAGCGAGGGGAGGGAGGGGGGTGGCGGATGGATAACGAGGAAGTAGAGATTCGGGCGGGCGCGAGCGAGCGGCGAGGCGGCGGGAGGGTGAGGCGAGGGGCACTTGGAGCACTTGGAACAGTCAGTAACCTCACATCCTCGCCATCCTCGGCATTCGGCACTGTAGAAGGCGTGCCGTTTTTTGCGCGTTGTGGAACCTTGTTGGCCGGTCGATTGACTTCAGCGCCGACGCGCTGCTCCCCGCTGCTCGTGCGGGTGTGTGCCACCTTGCCGCGTGCCCAGACGCGGTCAGTGAGCGATGGTCTTCGAGGCGCGCGTCGAATCCGCAATCACCATCCACGCCTGGAACGCGGACCGCACGCTCCTCGCCGTCTGCCCGAACGACAATACGATCGCCATCCTCAAGGTCCCGACCGCCGAGCCGCTGGACGGGCCGTGGGAGCGGGTGGCGACGCTGAGTGAGCACGACGCGCTGGTGACGGGCATCGCGTGGGCACCGACGTCCAATAAGATCGTCACCGTCTCGCAGGACCGCAACGCCTACGTCTGGACGCAGGTCGGCGGCGAGTGGAAGCCGTCGCTCGTCATCCTGCGCATCGCGGCGGCGGCGACGTCGGTGCAGTGGTCGCCGGGCGAGGAGAAGTTCGCGGTCGGGTCG